TTCCTAATTTAATATCATTATCTATCAGTCTCCAACATCATCGAAGTACCCAATGGCATCCGTTAATATGCAGTACAGTATGCAGTATTTATATGACATATATATATATCGATACAGTAATATTATGACAGTTATAATGTGTATAAATTAAACCGTAGTCATTAACTGATTGATGGCCCAAGCCTACTGCTATTGTCAGTCATCGCAGATGCCTGCCGATTGATGATTACATAGTACTGTACAATGTATATACAGCTCGTGCTAAGAAGTTTCGAGAACAATACAATATGGGGTGTGGGGTAGATCCCAGTGTCAAGGTTTCTGATGTGGGGTAGGGCTTAACAGTGAGCTGCTCTGATACAATGCTGTACAATATTTACACTACAGTATACTAAATATATCATTATTCGTGACAGTAGAGAGCTAAGAGCTAGATGAAATAGCACTCGTAGCAGCCAAACTATGACAGAAGCTCCTTGATGGACGATGAAGTGTGTGTATATGTCATATATATATAATACTTATTACAACGACATAGACACGTAAATACTATTCTATACTATTTCGTTGCTAATTTGAAGCAAATACAAATATACTGTACAATAGTACTGTATGTAGTTGGACCGTGACATATACATCCTGAAAAAAAAAAAAATTAATTAATTAATAATAAATATAATGTACACTGTACTGTTAGTAATATAATATAATGAGAGCATAAGCGGGCGGGACTACGTATCAAGGTTATTTTTGATAATACGTTATAAAAGTTATTATAAAGCGACAAATGGAGGTCACATGGCGAGGCCGGGGGCCTTGTCCGAATCGAGGAACCAATAATCGCCTGATTTACCGCTACCAATCAGTGCGCGCTTTTTCACGCGTAGATCATACTGTGAGCTCCATCTTGAAGTCCTTGTGTTTTGTAATCACAAAGGATAGATTGATTCAATCATTTCCAATTAAGCAAATGCCCTTTGATTTTGACTTCCAGACAGTAATGTGCTGCTCTACCCTGTACAGTAGACGACGTATCGTGCTTGGACGCCATTAAAACTTGAAAAATGGATAATCTCTGGCTTGACTAAGTAGCGTTGATATTTGTATCTCTAGTACCGTACATAAATCCCTAAATGAAAACTCGGATTACTCATGCAATCCGTATTGCACCATTAAAATAAATTAAACAGGACATCACTTGATGTTTTTTTGACGTGCGTGAGGTCACCTATTTCTGATTTCAGGTAACACGCCACATAGACACTTATTACAGTAACTCGGCATGCGGCATGCTGCGTCATACTGCATCTAAATAAATTTGATTTGATTTCGCAATACTGTACACTACTGTACAGTGTACAGTACTGTACAGTGTACAGTAGTTGAACTCGCTGGTCTACAGTACACTGTATTGTACTGTACAGTATTTACAGCGCAGTACTGTAGCAGTTATTACTGCAGTAGTGTGTACTGTACTGTACTGTACTGTACATGTAAGGTACCGTATGGTAAAGATTACCTACCGTATGTACAGTACAGTACAATTGTACAGTAGAGAACAAAAGTGTGGGAGGATTTTCTAATACAGTACTGTACTGTACAGTATTTTCCATACAGTACCAGCAAACCGACTTTGTGCATGTACAGTACAGTACTGTACAACGAAGTCACCGAGTCAAAGCTTTGATTATCATTATTCATGTTAACTTTGCAATTGGTGAATGAGTCAGGTTGCTGTTGGTTGATAACATGGTTGATATTAATATATATACTGTATATGTTAATATAATAACAAAAATTAAACGATAGATCAAAAGAGTAACCGTACTGTCAAAAGTATCAAAGTGGCAATTTGTTTACAAATGTGCTGTACAGTGTACAGTACAATATCGCAAAGTCTGATGAATGTCTGAAAAGTACTGTACAGTACTTGTTGGAGGCTTAGAGTCTTTAGCTGTACAGTACTGTACTGTTCTGCATTATTGCATTAAATTGCATCATGAGATTCATGACTGATTGTACTGTACAGTGTACAGTACTGTACAATTACACATACTGTACTGTACTGTACTGTACACCGTCGCTATGCAAAAGTTCAGTACTGTATTTAACGTCCTAAAAAAGCTCTATATAGATTAGTCTGACTGTACGTGTAAAGCTTGCAGATTGAATTGTATTTCACAACACTTTCTTCGCAGCGTTCCCTTTGAACTCACTTTGATTGATTTTATTAAAGTATCTGAAGCTTCTTGGAGTTATCTTGTAACTACAAGGTGCCGTACTGCTTTTGATCAATTTAATCGATCATCCTTGGTCTACCTTCAAGTGCATCAAGAGAGGAATTTGGATTAGTCCGCATCATTCATTTAGGAGCCTAGCTGATTGCGGTAAGCTGCTTCTGCAATACAGTACAGTACAGTAAATTCAGTAATGATTCATCATAGATTTATTGCTGGTTTGCTAATAACTACGGAAATATCGCTCTACATTACTACTGCCAACCTGAAAACAATTTAAAAGCACACACTATGCTACTGTACTATTGCTTCTTGCTCTACAGTAGAGTAGACTAGTCTCCGTAGTGTTGTTTTCAATATTCGATTCATATACAGTAGTCTACTAACAGCTACTACTATAACTTAGTATACTACTGTACTGTACCAGGTAGTACACTAGTACTGTACAGTACACTGCATATCGTATGCTAATTGAGATTCTCTTTTAGCTCTGAGCTCTGACCTAGAAACTGTTTTATCAACAACTCAACTATACAGAACAGTATTTCCTATACTAGTATATAGGTTAACTGTGGATTTTATCGTGTACAGTGCAATTTAATTGTCAGTTTCTTGAAGAGATCCTAGGGCTAAGATTACAAAACACAGTAGATATTCTTTCAGTAACCTTGGTTTACAAACGCATTCACGGTTACAGTTCATTCATGTGCATATACAGGTATTTAACTGTAACAAGTTACTGGTTGTTTACAGCATTTTTACAGCGCTACTCAGTGGGCCAAGTTCTTGAAAATAGAAGCCGTAAGAAAGTAAACTATGCGGTAAATTCGGATCGAAGTTACTTAAAAATATTCAAATATTGAATCCGAAACCGTCTCTAATATTGATTATAAATGTTCCTTTGATTTCACTGTATCATCGATAGATGTGCCATTTAGTACAGTATGGTACTTGTTCCCTTAAATTAATTAGTCGAATCGCACATTCACGATGCAGTACAGTATATGCTTTATATGCGGTATATTAGTGAGCAGTTTTGTATTAGTTCTACACTATGCTAACACAGGAGTTAGTATTTATATTAAATTACTGTACGAGTATAGTTATGTTCAATATTGGTGTAAGTTACAGTTTTCTTATCGCGTAATGTGCTTTACTATTTATTACAACACTGCAGAATTATTGCTAGGAAATAATTCTAATTTCTCAATTTCATTCTATTAACCAACTGGATACTGTTCATGTAACCCATGCATTTAATCGCAACACACTGCATTTGACAAACTAGTGATACCGTCATGACTTATGTATAATGTACATCTAGCGAACTTGTAAATCATTCTACTACAATGAAATGTAGGAATGATGTCTCCATATGTTAGCTACCTACTACAATTTCTTTCCAAAGTCATTCATAGCACAGATGTTGCAGTATGATCGCTCACCTTAATGTTAATAGTACTGTACTGTTTTCCGTAGACAACACATACTCCGCCCCGCCCCCACTTAGCGCCAAACGGTCATCAACGTGTTTGACCGAAGTAATAGAAGTAAACAATCATGCTGTACAGTATACTATGCCGTTCTGGAGACCACCCTATATATAGATTTTAGAATCAATGATAGATTAAAAATAGAACACGTAAAGGTCCACACTGTAATTTGCTTCTTAATACGTACACAGTAAAGTATATTTTGATGGTCCTATGCATGGTAAGTTTGCCATCTCTATCAGTAAAAACTATAACGGAAAATCATAGGCAATTTCGTCTGTAGGAGTAACTGAACCAACCCTAGGAGAATTACACACAATATTTATTTTTTTATTGATACGATCTTGACACCTTGTTAGTCCTTTTACAACCTACAAAAAGTACCTTGGTGTGAAAATTTTGAGTTAACGTAATCCTTTTTATCTTTACTCTAAAATGGTGCGTCTTTGTTGCAGATAACGAAAAAAGAAGATAACGAAAAAAGAAGATGTCGAAAAACTGGGAAGTCAAGTCTTCATTCTTAGCACGCAACACTTTCAATCCTATTCGAAAATATGTCGAAAGTCTTCCAGCGAAACCGAACCAAGCCAAAACTTTGATACCGTTAAACATTGGTACATTTTTCATTTAATTCATGCTTACCTTGAAAATGCGTTGTTATTTTGATACGTAGTCAATTTGTCATCGTGTACAGTATATGTTAGAAGTGGAATAAAATACGACTGCTGTACACCTAGCTCGTACGTACCGTACCGTATTCGTCTTATTTTGAGAGAAGAAATAATTTTTATGTATCGCTCCAGTCTTTGCGAATTAATTAATATGATTTAATTTTGTATTATTTCATAGGGGATCCCACTATTTTTGGTAATTTGCAGCCCCCAGAATCTGCTATAAACGCAGTAACCAAAGCCACTTTGACATGCGCTAACAATGGTTACAGCCCATCTATTGGTAAGTTGAGAATTATAACGTATACATTGAGAATAGTTAGGCATTCTGTGCTACTTTACAGCGTTGGGGGAACTTAGTAACTCAAGACAATTTTATAGATATAATCTCTTTGCGAAAATTGAGAGTTGACAAAACAGTTTTTGTGCGATTGGTATGTTTTACGTTATCAAGTATCGGAGTTTTAAATATTAGCGTTGATGATAACTTCTTTCGTATTCCTTATGTTAAAGGATATAAAAAAACGCGTGATGCCCTGGCAAAATTTTACTCCAGGTCTGGAATGGAATTCACTGGCAATGTAAGTATAGACAGTTATATTTTGACTGTAATCGGTAGCCACATCCATAATTCGATAAAATAATCTGTAGTTAGCGAAAGCGGTAGTCTGCTGACATATTAAAATAATGTTTTATACTTCAAATCCTAACAATTTTCACAAAAATATCCTTAATAACGCCATTTCAAAAAGTCGACTTTCATAGTTATATTGTACTGTAATTCTGCGTTAAAATATTGGATTGTGTAGATATGTATACTGTACGTACAGTACTATATTCATGTATTGTCTGTCTGCTCTAGCTGTGATAATGTTGTAATTGTCGTTTTTGAAATTTAACAAGACTTTCCCGTAGTGGCAATAGAGTAAAGTTAAGCTTTTATAGTCATATTTTAATTATTATGCAATACAGTGTGTATATACTTTGACATAATGCATAATTAATTGCGTCTGAACTGATATTAACTTAAATAAATGAATATTATGAATTTTTGTAAATAGGACGTTATCTTGACTAGTGGGTGCTCTGGTGCTATCGAAATAGCGCTAACCGGTTTGGTCAATGCTGGTGATAACATTCTTTCACCTATGCCCGGTTTCGCGTTGTACTCTACACTTCTAAAAGGATTGCACATAGATGTGAAGCTTTATAAATTGATGGTAGGTGACCATAGGCTTTTCTATCTATAGCCGCAGTCACATAATCGAAAGAGTTTATATTGTTGCCATAAGCAATACCGACGCAAATAGACTACAATACTTAATAGTAAAGACCGACACAGGTTACATACGTACCGGGCAACTGTGCAATACAGTACGTAGCCCAAATGTAATTTAGTTACTGTATTGTGATACTATAAATTATTAAACTACGAACTTGATTTGATCTACTAAACAACATAATAACATCATAAGTTTTTGTAGCTAAATGAAAGAATTGATCCAAAATATTGACTTTTACTGAACAATTTGAATGGTGGCCTTTTCCAGTCCTAGATAAAATTCGTTGATATGATTATTGTTTTTCTATTATTGTAATTCTTGGCTTCAGCCTGAACGAGATTGGGAAGTTGATATACAACATATGATTTCACTCATCGATGACCGAACACGCGCTATAGTAATTATTAATCCTTCAAATCCTTGTGGGTCTGTATTCTCGAGGGACCATCTGCAGGAAATATTACAAGGTATATTGAGTATAGCGTAATGCTATAATTTAGATATTCAGTAGTATAAGATCGCTTTACGAAATAGAGTAAGGCATTTAACACGATTCTTTTTCTTGTATACTTGGTTAGTTGCCGAACAATTTAAAATTCCTATTGTTGCCGATGAGGTTTATCGAGACATGGTTAGAATACAAATCATGCAACTGTACACAATCTAGCTGATTAGAATCTAAGTTACTATCCAATTAGTGTTAAATATAATATAATGAAATAATGTTTCGTATCTATAGATGCAGTATTAGTATTACGAAAGTGTATGCGCAATTGTCATCGAATCTGCCAATGATTATTCTGAATACTAAATTAAAATCAGAAATGTATTTTAAGCATTATTTTCTATTTAGATGTAAATATAGTCCTTTAATTTAATTAATGAATGATTATTGAGAACAAATTAAAATTACTTTTTGCTATTATTTAGCAGCTATAGAATACATCAACTAAAATTGGCTTCGAAATTTTAATCTCAGGTATTCTCTGATGCTGCGTTCTATCCGATTGCATCTCTAACAAGTACCGTGCCAATATTATCATGCGGGGGAATTGCCAAAAGGTAGATATTTAGCAAGAGCTAAAAGCTGGAGGTTTTAACATTGCAAACTGTAACGTCGTATCCAGAATGATGTTTTTTTGCGAGTCCTTGCATGTTATCTTGTAACTGGATCTCTATAACGGGCAAAGCCTGTTCTTTGTGTATTAAATATAAGGTTTAATTATTTTATTTCTATAATTAGATTTGTCGTACCTGGATGGCGCTTCGGTTGGATATTTATTCATGACAGGAATGAAATTTTTTCTAAAGAGGTTTGGCAGACGTAGAAAACATTATTATATTATTTGCTTACATAGGCCTGGTGCTAGTGTTAAAGTTATAGCTATTGTTAACAGTAAGATATAAGAAATGTACCTTATATACACCTGATAATTTGTGGATCGTCAGCTTATTGCTAATTAATCTCTTTAAAATTTTAGATTCGTGCTGCTCTGCATAGCTTATCGCAAAGAATTTTAGGACCAAATACTCTTATCCAAGCAGCGATCCCTGAAATGTTGAAAGAAACTCCACAAGAGTTTTACACTAGTGTCATGAAAGTAATTGAGGTATCCTGCCGTTCTTTGGTTATTGTCTTTACATTGTTAAATACGATTTTCTGGCGGTTATTATGCTTAACCTAGTAGTTGATGTGTAATTAGAATAATTTACTTAAATTAATTATTAATAGGGAAATGCGCATCTTGCGTACAATTCATTGAAAAATATCGATGGATTGAACCCAATAATGCCTAAAGGCTCTATGTATATGATGGTACGATATCTGAAGTAGACGCTAATATAAATTCAGTCTTTAACCTACAGATTAACTCTTAAAAGTGTACCCTATAGCTTCTTGATTTACATAAAGTATATATCACATCCTTTCTAATCAAAATTCATTCAATTACATAGATCGGAATAGATATTGAACGGTTTACTGGCTTTGAAAGTGATCTAGAGTTTACTCATAAGCTTTATGAAGATGAGTCCGTATCATGTATACCTGGAAGGGTAAGATGATAGCGTAATTGTGATTAAAATTTTGCTGTTATTATTCAGGCCGTACTGAGATTAACTAACTTTGTGTATACGCTTCCAGTGTTTCTCATATGAAGGCTTTTTCCGAATTGTTCTTACCGTACCCGAAGATATGCTTAAAGTTGCCTGTTGTCGTATTGCCGACTTTTGTAATGCGCATAGATATATTGCTAATGGTAAATGCCATTAACATGTCTGGCCTAACAGTAATACTCCAGCAAGACCCAGTATCTATTAGTGAGTTAGCTTCCGGCAAAACCTTGTGTAGGCCCTAATACATTCTTTATGACGGCTTTCACCACTATATCGCTCAATTATCTTCATAATTTTGGGCCCATAGTAATTGTATGAGATTTTATTTTCAGTAGAACAAGCGTTATTGTGAACTTAAATGCCTTTCATGCAATTATGTGGTGATATAAATGCTGAAGACTATGCGGAAAACTTATTGCTTTAAGATGTGTAACCTTAGGTAACATCGTTCCTTTATGGAGTTCAAGTCTTTAAGATAACTCTTAATTTACACTGATTCTTAGAAGAAATCTTAATATAATTATAATTACTACGACTTATAAAGTAAACATCCGACGTGGAGAAAATGCAAATCCGGTGCAGCTCACAATTCATAACTACAGTTATCTGATAATATCCGAGGGACTGACAAAGATTAATTGTATATTTCTTGCCAATTATAAATTATCGCATTGCTTTTTAACAAAATGCAATCATCTGTACGTTATCCTAAGAATCTAAATATGTAATTTGTAATATATTCTGTGCTTTATTTATAACATTTATAGATAAAGAATAAAATAAAATAAAATGGTCAATATGAAGTATGTAAGCTTCAGCGTGGTTAGTTATTAGAATCGTTTCTATGAAGTAAAGGATATTGAATTTTGGTTGGGCATCACAATTTTACGCGATTCTGCGAATACCCTAAGTACTGTACCATACTCTACAGTAAACTCGTACAGCCCTCAATATCGCGTTCTGCATACTGTACATGCACTCAATTAGTTCAGTATCTTCATGTATTTACTACGAAACCCCATTTAAACCCGACTCGAGGGCGGGATTCGGGTTAAAAATTTCTATAGTGATACAGTGTTTGTATAGCAATTGCACTCATTTTGGGCTAGAAAAATCAACCATTTGATCGGGTTCGGGTTGCCTTTTCACTCTATTGCACAACACTACAGTACACTGTACGGTAATTAGCCATCAGTGCCACTAATAGCGTCAAGCCATACTAAACGCACCCTACTGTATAGACCAGTATTACGACGTGAGTTGTAAAATGCTTGGAGCGACCGAGTATGTAAAAGCGACTAATAGTTTATATTAGAAACTTGAAAGAAATAGGATTATTCAATACTGCGATAGAAAGTAATCAAAATATCAAGAGCCAATTGCTCAATGTTGTACTGATCTGTCTGTATGGAATTGGAGCCAAATTGAAAGTCCATTTCTTCACAATTTAAAGATACAATTTATGGCAACACTATAGCTGAGTATCTTTCAACCATTTTAGAGGGCTCGCCACGCCCTGTAATGGTAGTCTTACAAAAAGTACGTACTGTCACATACGATTTATCTGGTTACCGTAGCAACCAGTAAACTTGTCTATAAATATAATATGGGCTGAAAATACACCGGCAGAGCAAATAGTTCTAATATAAAATTATAGTTGATACAGTATGCGTAAATCGATGGAATTTCGAACAGTACAGTCTCAATTGAAGCCATAGTGAGTAACGATACGCATTAAACTTACAAGCATATAATCGGCTTATTAATGGAATGTATAACATCATAAACGTTATCTACAGAAGTGGTCAGGCGATAATCATACGCATATTTTCTGGTTAACTTACACATCGTCAGCAAAGAAGTTCTTCATTAAATGCGGGTAATAAAATTATTAGCAATAACATCATGAAGTTCGATAACAAGACTAGCAATGCGAACATAAAAATCGATTCAGCATTGGTACAGCGTAAGGAAGTAGTAAATTTATATCGCAGAGCATCAAAATATTTAAAAAAAGATAACATTGAAAAAGCGATCGAAATATTTGAAGAAGCAATAGATAAGGCAGATAATCTAGAGGTTACTTACATTAAATTAAAATATCAATGCTTACTTTTAGCTGGAATTTGTTATGCGAGGCAAGGTCGACATAAGGAGGCATTAAAACGCTTTAAGGAAGCCATACCAGAAGAAAAGGCTACGGAAGATGAGCTGACCTTCGAAATTTACTATAATATTGGCTTAAGCAAACTTTCCCTAAATTTATTTTCAGAAGCAATAATGTATTTTGATCTAGCACTTTGCGGATATAGAGAAATAAAAAAGCTCGATATGCAGGCGATTGTTTTATCGAAACTTGGATATTGCTGGACAAAGTCTGATAATTTTAATCAGGCTTTAACTTGTTATAAGAATTCTCGTGATATTTTTAGACGAATAGATGATCCATCGAATGAAACTCTTATATTGGCCGAAATGGCATCTCTATTAGGTAATTCAGGCCAACTAAAGAAATGTCTTGCAATTTTGAATGATATTCGAACTCGTTGTCAAAAAATACAAGAAGAAGATATTTTATGTAAGTTTAACAGCTGGTAGCACGATAATGCGTTTTGTTTAAGATATGCAGTTAGATAAACTGAATGCTTTAAGCCATACAATAAACATATAATCCCTACATATCCTTTTACGCTAGCCATCAAGTATCAACTAGTATATTATCGAAAATTACCGCACTGATATTATAAATACAGTAACATCGATGGAAATCTGTCAAATGCGATTTTAGTCATGCCATCACACTCTTAAATTTACCTTTTTTTATAAACAAAAATAGGTCAAATCTATTACAATGCGGGTCTGATTTATAACCAAATATCAATGTTTAACGACGCCATCGACTGTTTTGAACTAGCAATAGAACACCTCATAGTTAATAAAAAGGAAGAAAAGTTCCTTGGCGCATCTATTTATCAAGGGCTTGGTGCAGTACTTAATCAAATGGGCAAATACTCAGAAGCGATAGCTTATCATCATAAAGCTATAAATTTATTCGGTAAAGTATTTATAAATTGTTACTGATCTAAATAAAGTTATTATCGGCTAATGTTGTAAACGGTATTTTTGTTTTCGTATCGTACTTTTATCAATAACAAGACTATCTTAGTTGTCTTAACAAATCTTCAATTGAGTTGATTGTACATCTTGCTAACTTTTTAGATGATCTTAAGGACAAGTCGTCTCAATCTAAGGCATTCTGCAACATTGCTTATGCATATGGCATGTTGGATAAAACAGAACTAAGCTCTCAGTATTATGCTAAAGCATGTCACGCTGCTACTAACGCTCATGATAACATCAGTGAGATGGAAGCTAATGAAGGGCTTGGGGATATTGCTCATCGCCAAGGAAAATTCGAAGAGGCCTTACTTCATTATAAATTAGCAATGAAAATGTTAACGATATGTAAAAGATGGAATAATGATACCTTTGAAAGGATAACAAATAAGTTAACGGATTCTATTGAACGAAAAGTTGCATGGAAAATTTACAAAGACAACGTGGCCAACATGAAACTTGACGAAAGTAAAGTAATGTCCGAATTGTCCATTCCAAGTCAAAGCCAGTCACCAGCAACTCTCGATCATACGTACCAAACTTTACGCCACTTTCAAATGACGAAAGCTTCATCATCTAGTGAAGCACACATGAATAATCCTGACAATGAAAGCAATGCAAAGGTGGCTAACCTAGATATGTCAGGATCGTATTTACAACCGAGAGAGATTCATCATCACATAGCAAGAGTTGAGAGAATGAATTTGGCTATGGGTACACAATATCAAAATTTAAAACCGGAAAAAATTGCAGTGGATCAAAGCAAACATACCGATTCACAAGAGAGGCTACTTAGAAATAATACTGTTAATGATGATAAATCGCGCAAATCATTGATGAAATCGAGAAATATCAATCATTCTCGTAGTTGTGTTATTTTATGATCTTGTTTTTAGTCGACTCAACGAAAGAGTTACAAGAGATGCATAATTTATTTTGAAGAAGAATATGACAAACGTTATATAATTACGAACATTAAATTCAGATTATTTCCCGAAAATCAATGCTATGATCACATGTTCGCTACTGTACTTTGATTCACGCTATTTCATATTTTCCTAGAGTCAGTATATTAATAAGTATGCATATAGCTGATTATAAAATTTATCTACATAATGATTTTTAAAAACTATTTCTGTTCAACCGATATTATACGTTTTTGCTTAATGGCTAACATAATACAGCTTAAACTTCAGATTCTATCATATCTGGATGTCGGCTTTAATAATCTAAATCTTAGCTGCTATAAATAATGACTGATGAAAAGAATTATATTTATGGATTTATTTCTGAAATTTTACATATATTAAGCTATCAAAATCATTTTATTATAAAAGAATTACGAAATCACTTAACGCATTTAACTACTCAAAACTCATATAATAACTATTTAACTCATATTTTTAGCAAGTTAAAACGACTAATTATATATAATAAATCATAAAAGTATAAATCAACATTCAATATCAAAGTTGAAAGACTACCCTTGTATATCATTCCGTGTACGTATTTGCAATCTTGTTATTGTATTACACTAGCACCCTAAATCAGAAAAATTCATTGTGAATATAATTAAGTAAATATAAAGTTATAATACGAGTGCTTTAAGTTTTAGCAGTGATAGTAATGACAGTTCCTGCACTACAGTTTAACAGTATTATCTATAAATCCGGACTTAGAAAAGTAAATATAGTTCTCACGATATTAATTTGATTATACCGTCACTTTTCCGCATGTCAAAGGTGTACCAAATCGATTCAAATGAGTGCTATAATAACACTAATAACTGTCATAACAAATCGTAAGAATAGAAATCTAGCCATTGGGCATTATTGGCTATAGAAATACCACCAATTACGATAATAATATCGTTGTTGCAATGATGCAATTTTAATGCTCGTATATCTAGAAGTATAGAATATTTTACTATCACAGCTATTTATGAATGAGAATAGAAGTTAAACATGTTTGTTATCCAATCAAAAATCTGTAAGAAAAAGATAGATACGTTGGATTCTAACTTGCTTCAACGAAATATAAAATCTGATTGTAATATGCTAAACGTCCATATTGCCCGTTTACAGACAATATGATTGCGTCTTCATACAGCATACCGGTACATTTATGTAAGATTCTGTTTAAGCCGATGGCGTGACTTAACTGTATCACTAAAACTAGCCACATATAATTATGCTACATTTATTAATTAAAGTAATATACATACACAAAAGGTTCTGCTAGAGCATTCAAATACGAAGTAAAAATAAAAATTTAAGAAACTATTTAGTAGCAGTGTGCATTTCCATAGTGTGATATATTTAAATGAATTCCGTATAAACAATGATTAAGTAAATTGTGGCAATATGCTAATAATTAATTAGAACAGATGGTGTTCGAAAACATTAATTCTTTGTCATAGTCGATAATTTCATAGACCTGCTATTATATGAAAATATTAAAACTGATTCCACCCAAGTTAAGGAATGAAAATGGCTGCGAATGGTGATAAAGAGAAAAGCTTAACCGAATTAGAGAAAGAAGTTGAGAGCTTAAAGAAAAAATTACGGAAGCGTCGTGAAAAAAATTGTGATGCTACATGTAACCAGATTGAATGATTAAAATTTTCGATCGTAGAATTTTATAAGTGTTGCATGGTCATAAAATGAAGTTAAATTGTTAATATTATCTTTATTTTTATCAAATCGGCAGTACGAGATTCTTCCGCTACAATATTACACTTTGATCAATTATCATATAAAATCAGAAGAAGCTTGAAAGGCCACCAAGGTAAAATATTACGCTTAGACTGGACAAAGAATGGCCAGAAACTTATAAGCTCTTCACAGGTGAAATAGACACAAAATTCGCAGTAATCTTTTTAATATTCGAGGTAATTAGTTTATATGATTTAAATAGCAATCTTACAGGTGTCATTGAAGAATACATACATACAGCAGACAGCATTATAAACTTTTATTCCTTTATCTGTAGCTTATGCCAATATCTTTAAAGACATATTTAAAAATGACTGAGTTTTTCACTCATGCAAATTAGTCATGGATATGACAGCCTCTATTTTATCATAGAACATGGGGCAATCTACAATTTTTGTAACAAGTTTAGTTTCCTATATTTTTACAAACATTTATGATCTCGAACGTGCTGGAACTGTATAATGTTATATTTCCTAATCAATACACTATAACAGATATGATGATAACGTCCTCAATAATTTATTTTCATAATTATCATGGAATATTTCTCAGTATTTTTATACTTTGCCTGATAGATGTAGGAACAGTTACTTTTAGTTGTTATTATATTTCATTTATGAAATTGACCTATATATAAAACTGAGAGTGCTTTTAATACGTCATTTGTATTGATATCATAGGATGGCGAAGTAATAATGTGGGATGCATTTTCATCACAAAAAGTACGTAAGTCTTATTCTATTATTGTATATGCAATCCAAAATGTATTTTACTTCAAACGTATACCTGCACCGCGGATTGTTACCCTATATTATTGCCTTGTAGTAACCTTGATGGAAAGTGACTATCGTATTGATTAAAAGTATAAATTAACATTCAAGGACATCGTTATTCCTCAAAGTACTCCTTGGACGATGGCGTGTAGTATTGACTCCGTAGGTTCCTATATCGCTTGCGGGTAATATAATGCGTTATTTTATTTCGTAAGATTAAGTAAACATAACTACCGGTAGTTTTTAACTCAGTATGAATGCAAATGTTCACGAGTGTGGCAATACATGTCATTAATCATTACCATTATAGTTTGAATCTGTCATAATCACGATAAAAATATTGTATTGAAGTGATATTAAATTTATTCCAATCTATCACAGTGGGGTGGACAATAAATGCTCTATCTACGATATACAAGATCTTGAAGATATAGCTAGTACGAAACGAACTATAGCAACACATACAAGCTATATTTCCGATTGTAAATTTATCTATTCCGATTGTCAGGTATGTTACTCATGTGTAAGAAATCGATCTGTATATCTTATCACGTCTTGAGCTACAGAAATTGCGTGCTCTCCATCAATCTTTGCGTTAATTTTTTTCAGTAGTACGTTTGTGATGGAGTGTTAGAATAACTAGTTGTAAATTGAAAATGTTAGCTATCTAATTCTATCTATTGTTGAATGATTCCTCAGCTATTAACAGCATCAGGAGATACTACTTGTGCCTTATGGGATGTGGAAACATCTCAAATGATTTACACCTTCCATGGTCATAAAGCAGATGTTCTTAGTCTTGATTTATGTCCAACATTTCCAGCAAACTTAATAGCTTCCGGATCATGCGATAATATTGTTAAAATTTGGGATTTAAGACAAGGTCAATGCACTCATTCCTTTGAAGATCATAAAGCCAGCGTTAACTGTGTCAAGTAAGGCTAAAGGATACATTTCAGTATTATGATGTCATGATTAGATCAATCCGAGCCATACATATTACAGATGGCATATGTATGCTTAAATATTCTGAATGTCTATAGTAGTATCATAAAGTTGCATTTATTTAGATTTATAGAATAGGTTTAATAGGGCTCTCACATTGCAGAGTTGCATATCAATTTTGATTTACTTCCTATGCCTACCTAGTAGACAATAGATCGTAGTATGAACAATTATCAGGTCATAACTTAATCTCTAATCTCTTTAATCATAGATTTTTTCCTACTGGAGATGTAATCGGATCTGCTTCTGATGATGGCACTGTAAGTTTATTGGTTTTATAAAATAAATAATGTTGTGAAAAGTGAATATGGTACTAAAATAATTATCATTTGCGGTATTGCGTAAGTGTCGTCTATTCGATTTACGAGCTATGCAAGGAATAAGCATCTACAAAAGAGATTCGATTATCTTTGGTGTATCTAGTCTCGATTTTACTAAAAGCGGTAAGAAGTATGCGCTATAGATAGTCTATCATAGTGAAAAACAGACTGTATATGGTAGATTCAATTGCTTCATAATAATTTATGCTGCTTGAGATTTTACTAACAAAAATAGCTCCAACATACTCACTTTGAGGTAGTGATCGTCTACTACGGTTTTAAGTGATAGCAATGATTACCTAAATTTTAATATTATAGATTTAACATTACGCATTCAATCATGATCTGTGGTAGTTGAGTTGATCTTAGAAATCATTATTACAAATAATATTTACAAGCGATTCGGAAATGGCGAAGTAATGAATAATTAAGAGCTAACTTATTGATTTTTACATGCGTCTTGGATAGGCCGATTGTTGCTTGCTGGATATTATGATTTTAATATACATGCTTGGGATACGCTAAAGGTAAGATGCGAGTATATCATATTATTACTAAATGTAGTTTCAATTTGATAGTAATTATTAATATTTTTATATTTTTTCATTAGATGGAAAGAGTTTCTACCCTTTATGGGCATGAAAGTCGCGTAAGTTGTCTTAAAATGTCTCCAGATGGCTTCGGCTTAGCTAGTGGAAGTTGGGATCAGACAGTAAAAGTAAGTTTAAAGATTTTTGTACTTGATTTAAAAGGTTTTGCCATAATTTACATTTTCTAGCGGATATTAAATATTATTACCATGTAAATTAATATTTCAATAGGTTTGGGCATAGAAAAGATGAATTATAACATAGATGTTATCGGTAATATATATTATATGAATTTAATGTATAAAATATATAGTACTTCGTAAAGTAATAGCATGCTATTGCTAGCTAAAAGCACAATGATTACACCAAGGCATCGTTATTTGGCTTAAATTTAAGCGTCGCTAATGGTGGTTCAATTGATATTAAAAATGATTGACATATATTAATTCAAGCTATAAATTAAAAATTATGCTAGCATCACTTCTCACCTATTTGAGTTTTATTAACAAATACTTCGAATCTAACTAAAATCATTTGATATTGTGACGGCCAGTTTTATATGTAAATCTTATAAAGGCTTACTACGAAAGCTTATTTTGCTCTACGTGGCATTTACGGTGAGTTCTTCATTCAGTATTTGAATGAGCTCTCAAAAATGACTCCTTCAGATTTATTCTTCAGCTTTGAATGATGTCCTCTTCACTAATACAATTCTTGGACTACCATAGACTCTGATTTCTTTTCTCGAAGTTATACGTGTGTAGCTAATCAAAACCTTGTATTATAACAAGATATCAAATCTCGTTATATAACTACTATTTTCTATTTAGCAGTCTAATTATTGAAATTATAGTAATGGAGGTGTACGCAAATAAATGACGATATGAGCCAACATGCTTATCGATCTAAGGTTAGCCGTGTACACATCTGTAAATCGGTGCTGATAATTTATTAGCCTCAGCTCTTAATGACTGTAAATAGTTCAGGGCTAGTCTTTCTTAGTATGTTGTCTGTTACGCAATTAGTAATTCATAAAAGTTACATGGATGAAATATAATACCGTATAAAGTTGTAATTACTGACAAGATTGTCAGGTATATGCATCTTTAAATGCAAGTAATTTTAAACAGTTCAGACTTGGTGTTCCTCTAATGTACTGATTATAAAGTTAATAGTCATTAATTACCACTAATTTATAATCGTAATACTGATATTTCATGTAAAATTACCTGCAATATCCTTAGATAGCTTTATAATCTTTTACACGCTTCGATAGCAATTATCAGTAATTTGTACAATATAATAAGCGATACAGTACTTTATCGGTATGTATGTGCTAAAAATAGCTAGTTTGGTACTTTACGCGAAAGAACTATCGCATTTACTACATTTGTTTTCCTATTGTTTGTTGAGCGTTTTAAATAGGCATTAATACATTGCAATATATAATGTCAAAATCAAACTCTGAGGTAACGATTTGTCTAAAAGGCATTAGCTCTCATATTTCCTTATGATTGCATGCTGTAGTGGGGCTCGGAGACGAAATGGGTCGCTGAATCATTGCATGAAATGTTATTTTCATACAATACAGGATTATACTCTGTATGCCTACTACATAATTTGACGTCTGATTAAAATATATATAACACATCAGCTCAGTATTCGTTCTCATCTATTACGCAAGTTATTCAATTATGTTTGGTCAAATGATTCGCTAAGCTGCCGTATTCTAATTATGAGGAGAGCAATGCGATTACTAAAATTTAAGAGTTAATTTTATATGACTATATTTCAAAATCACTCTAACGTTCTAAAGAACAATTCATTGATTAAAGCTCAAAGCTAACTCAATCCTAATAGCTTTTATAAGTAAGACTGAATTTAATAACCATTAGCTTTGAAAGATAGGTGCACTCATATGTACATTGTACAGTATAACTTCAACAGCATGAGATGTAATCAGAATAAATAATCAATAATACAGCAACAAAGAAGGCTTGTCAAGTTTTGTTTAGCCGGGGTACTATCTTAGCTTTCATTTGTTAACATGAGTTCTATAGATTATGACATGTATAGGTGATTGTGCATATAGATTACTTTTCTCAAATTTATTCTGATCAATGTATAATTTTATTACTTCTAGTACTTTATATAATCATTGCATTCAGACATTTATAATCGACTTTATATCGGAACTGGAGCACTTTTGATGTACTGTTCGATAAATGAGCTTTGAATTCGATATACAGTAATACTTCATCCACTAGCGCATACGATTATACTCTTTGCATTGTTGCTAATAATATCGTCAAAGAGCTTTACATAGAGATTTGATCATTTCGTAATATACGGTACGATTTACTAGTAAATCTTAAATTTAATTCAAAAAATGTATTTAAAATACATCTATTACAGTATTGTACTCTATAGATCGTGGCCTACTACTTATAGAAATTTTTATTTTGACGTTATATTATGCTTTCCTGAATAACGGCTGTGTTGTTACCAAATCAGCATTATTCAACATGTATTCAATCCTATTACACTACAATATTCACGCTCAAATTTTCAAGATGTATAGCTAAATTACATTAATTTCTATATAGTAGAGTATTAGTACGCTAAAGATATACTGCATTATATAAATTTCTTTTCAATGCAATTTCGGAGGCGAAAGTTAATTCAGGATCGATTTTCCTTGATTATGAATTGGCGCTAAAGTCAAACTATATAACACTTATTCAATACTATTATACCGGCGGCATTTCCATGACGATCGACTTCTAGATATAGAGTATACCGTACTAAAATCGAATATACAGGCACCTCTACAATTCTATCAACTATATTGATTTGATTTGACGATCGACTTTACTAGACATATAGTTTCTTGAATGCCCTGAAATAGAATCTTCTTTCACTAACAACAGAGACGAAGTATTTCTACAATACTATTATTTATCTCCAAGCTATCAATAGCAGTATAGTGTTCATATAAGGAACTTTACAATTTATCTAGAGAGATTATTTTTACATGATATTCATTCATATAGTGAGTCATTATCCTAGTCAAATGACATTCAATTCAGCCTATACGTCAAAATAAGCGGAGACAATTCCACGGTGGGTATCCTGTATTTCATGGTAACTATACAAAAGTATGCTATATTATTTGTTATGCAAATAGCATCAAAATTGTTGGAGATTCTATTCATTAACACCAAAGAATAGAAACTGATGAAAAAGATTACAGTTGTAGAGACAACTGACATAAAAAGAAGCAGATAATAATAACTAGAACAACAGCATTAAAACAATACTAGAATAATATTTTTTCCCGTCCGCATATACATTTTATAGGGTGAACTTGAAAAAGAGATGTTGTATAACTAACAATAATCTTCAATCTGTATTATCATATCGGTCTCATCATCATCACCCTAATATCAATAGTTATTATTGTATATCGTTCAATCTAAGCACTTCTTTATACAGGATACGGGTAAAAATTTGAGTTGTCCTTTCTATTTGCTCTTTCCTACTTAAGAACGATTAATATCGCTATAACTACTACTTATACAGGTTTTTGATGAAGAAAATATAGGCTCATTGGTCAATCTTAACCTTAAAGCTGTTCTATTTCTATAAGCTATCGATATATATTGAAAACATTCGGCTCTTTTAACTGATATTGAACGGTAAGATCATTATTATTTATTATATTACTTGAGAGATTATCGGACACTTTATAAGGTACTATTACTAGGAGTAACTAAGGAACAACAATATTTATCATGACCGCTATAAAATTAGTTACAGAAACGAAAATTTGTCTCTAAAAATAAATATCTCTTCGGATTTTGCACCACATAGTCGTTCAGTAGTTGCTAGTATCTTCAATAAAGCTCTTTTGCTTGTTATACGATCATCGCCACTACTAACAAATCATTCAATAAAACATGAAATGATCTCTTAAAATCGACCCATTTATGGAGTTATATAGTAGTTACTAGTATTTTAGATCACATTATTTGCTAGGTATACGGCTATTAGCGTGGATATACTGCTAAATCGTTTAGTAAAAGATAAAACTAGCTCTTAAATGGATCCTTTCCAATTTTACTACATAGAGTTATACAGTAGTTATTAATATTTTCAATCAGGCTATTTGCATAGCCACTAGTGTAAATACTGTATACTGTTAAATGATCCTTGAAAGATGGGATTATCTCTAAAATGGATCCCTTTCTAATTTTATTACGTAAAACCATATAAAGCTATACAGTATTTATTAGTACCTTGAACGAGGCCATTTACGAGTTATGCGGCCAATAGTGCTTATATACTCTTAAATTGTTCAATAAAAGATGAATTTATCCCTAAGAACGATTTCTTTTTAGGTTTAACCTCATCTAGTTATACGTCCTTTAGGTACAAGTAACTTCAATCAGGCCGTGTACATGTTATACAATCATTAGTGCGAATACGCTATTAAAACATCCAATAGAACAAGTAAATATCTCTTAAAATGGTTTCTCTAAGATTTTACATCGTCTAATCAAAGTTACTAGCATCTTCAATCAGATTTTATACAAGTAATACAGGCCTTAGTGCGAATACACTAGTAAATCATCTCATAAGACATGACATAATCTTTAAAATCGGTAGCAGATTCCATTCCAGGTTTTACGTTACGAAGATTCAGCAGTGTTCACTAGCATCTTTAATCAGGGTATTTACATGTTATACATTTAATAGCAGGAATTGACTATTAAAGCATCCAATGAAAATTAAAATTATCTCTAAAGAGGATTCCTTTACAGATTCTATATCATATAGTCATATCGTAGTTACCTGGTACTAGTAAAGTAAATTCAATCGGATTCTTTAAGTTTTCTACAGCCATTCGTGTTAAGATACCATTAAATCAACCATTAAATCTTTCACTTTCAACTAAAACATTCTGTTATATAACAACAACAATGATAAACGTGCTAACTATATAGGAATAATTTCTTACCAGATATTAACAGGTTAATAATCAAGAAAATAATATCATCATTTCTAGATATTTGGGCTTGGTCTATAGCCTTTCGATATTAATTTTAATGAAGTAATATTTTTACTGTCCAAATAGTAACTGAACTGATCATGAATAGCCTAGAATGGAAGGAATTAGGTATCACATCCTATAACGATATAACTGCAACACAAATGCAAGATATTTACCAACGAATTCGGTTAGATGGGCTTAATCTTCGTCAAACTCAAGCAGCTATTCGCACTATTACTTGCGAAGATACATGTAGTCAATTATCCTTCTTCGATGTTTTACACGAGATGGATAGGCGTTACTACCTACGACGAGATCTAGTTTGGGAGTTTACTTTGTTAGACAATTGGAAAATGGGCTTAATCGAGATATCAGAAGCACAATTCTTAATGAAAGCTGTCCATAAAGATTATTTTAATGACAGGCAGTGGAAAAAATTTTTAACCAATCGTCCAGTGCCAGAAGCTATGATTGCATTTGAAGAAATCGAAGTTGATTTGTGCAATATACCTAGTCTAGAGCAATTAGAACAAGATATTGAAGAAGAAATACAAGAAAATTTAGGTAAATTATGAACTGATGAAAGTGATTTTCGTATAATTTTCCTCGTTACTATGAACTTTACGAGCGTTTACTAAATTGTTTCTATCTACAAAAATAAGCTAAACACTATAGTCGTCATTCTTTGTAAGAAAGCAGCTGTTTAGCTTTAGTCAGACTAAACGAAGTATATTTATGATGTAAATGTTACACGAGTGCTAAGGTAGTAAGTTAGTAATGGTACTCTATTCACCATGCTTGAATCATTATTTTGTTGATTCTTCGATACTCGGGTGATAAAAGGGTGCCGTAGCCCTAGTTTTAAGAATCTCATTTTTCATTAATTCGGTAGTATCAAGTTATTAGTTAAATAAATGACACTTGAAATGATCGTAATGCTCGAGCTATATGGCAGTAAGCTAAAAATGCATTCTCTAGACACTGTTCCGAGATTCTGTTTATTAATTCTGTGAGAGTGAGTTAAGTAAAAGGAAATTCGAGTTACTCTTAGCTAGCTCATCTTATTGGAACTAAAGTGATTGTTATACATTGCTTCTTTTCTTTCATTTCTTTCTCATTTGATATATTGATGCCATTAGAATGTTACTATCTTAAATTGATACTCCAAATGTAATCGAAATTTTCTCGTTAGTACAACTAAATCAGGATTAAGCTAATCAAAAGAGCTATTAGTGACTAAAGAACACAAAATCTATCATTAATTTATCGTCTCAAACGAATTGATTGTATCATTTATCCAGAAAAGGAAAGTGTGTTAGAGTTAGAATTAAAGCAAATTGAATCTGATGAAAACGCTGAGAGAGAGAAAAATCAACCTAGTAATGGCACTAAGGAAGCAGTTAATGATAAAAAAAGCAATTCAGAGAGTGAAAACATGGTTAGGGAACTAGAATCTATAATTAAGGAAGAAGAACTTAAAAGAAAAGAGGCACAAGAGGCACAAGAGGTAGCAAGAATCGCTGAAGCAAAGAAGAAAGCAGAAGAAGAGGCCGACAGAATTGTTGAAGAGCAAAGGAAAGAAAGAGAAGAAGCGGAAAGAATTGCTGAAGAGCAACGGAAAGAAAGAGAAGAAGCAGAAAGAATTGCTGAAGAGCAACGGAAAGAAAGAGAAGAAGCAGAAAGGATTGCTGAAGAGCAACGGAAAGAAAGAGAAGAAATAGAAAGAATTGCTGAAAAGCAAAAGAAAGAAAGAGAAGAAGCAGAAAGAATTGCTGAGGAACAAAGAAAGCAAGAAGAAGCTGCAAGTATTGCTGATGAAAAGAGGAAAGCAGAAGAAGAAGCGGCCCAGAAGCAACTTGAAGAGGAAATGTATAATGCTGAAGAGCAACAGAAAAATGAATCCCTAAATAGCATGGAAACACTAGATACTGAGGAAATGAACAAGTTAGCCGAGATAGCAGCAAATGCAGAAGCAGATGCCAAAAGAGAAGCTGAAATTGCTGCCGAAGCTGCACTAAAAGCCGGTAATGATGTTTAAGATCAGTTATCATATTTGAAGAAAATTGAGAATTTGCATCATAAATTGATTCCTTAACTTACTAAAATTGAAATTTACTTTCATTTTGTATACAGATAGCGAAGATGCTAAAAAAGCAGCTTTGGAGGCTGAAAGAATTGCTCTAGAGAAAGCTAGGAAAATAGCTGAAGAAAGATTAACGAGTCAACTCAAGTCTGCCATGAAATCGAATGATATCGACCGATTGAGAACTACTTTAAAAGAATTTAAAAAGGCGAAGATTGAAAATAGCTCCGAATTGATACAAAAAGCTGAGTCTACGTTAAAAATGTGGCTGCTTCGTAACGAGCTAAATTTGGTAAGTAGACTAGGAAACTAGCTACTACATATTTTATATAATTAGTTTAAGGTATCATAACCAGATTATTTATTTTATTTAACTGAACTACTGTTACTATAGCATTAAATTGCCAAAAGTGTCTAATCTTACGATGTTAGTTTGAGAAAAGCCTATCTAATTCCAATAATTGATGTGTATATGTCACAAACCAACTTCGTGACAAGGATAACGTAAAACAAATCTCTAAATCTCTATAGTCTCCGGGATTCAGTATCCCTACTCACAAGAATTTAGACGCCTTTGATTCTACGTTAAAACAACTATACAATTGAGAACTGCTTTATTCAACTATCAGACGGGTTTATATACCCTTCTACAGCAGCTAACATTCACAAGTCATCTTATAAAAATACTTGAGTGAGAACATCTACTAACTAGTTTTTCACAGTCGGACTACAATATGTCCATTCACAGAATCATTTCAGCACACATTACAGCACAGCAATAAATTTACTGTAACACATTTATAATTAGAGTAATTCCTATTGTAAGTAACTAGTTGTAATATAATATCACTATATTATATTAACCAAATTTAGATATCTATTTCTTCACGGTAGTTCGCACCGTGACAGTATGTTACTAGATTCATTCCAGTAACAAAACTAATATAAAGCTTCACGATATTAACCGGAACAAAACTTTTAGCATTTACTATAGTTCATTCTTTCTAGTATCAAATTTAAGATGCTCTAATGCTTCACATTGTATTACAATAACAGTAAAAGTGATATTTTATCATATCCTCGTATTATTAACAGGCGGTACATGAAAGGCAGATCCCTAAATTGGAGACGGCGATTGAAAAGTATAAGAAATCAACCTTTACTGCCGACTTGCAAACTGAATATAATCAAGCCAATGATTTGTTAGGAAGATTAAAAAGATTGGATAAGATGAGACATGAAATTTTGAGTTTAAAACAGGTAAAGTATTACTGTCAAGCAATCCGATAAAAAATAGTTAAAATAAAGAGTTCCGTCATGACTATATCATTCCGTGTATAACCCAGTGACACGAGTACTTTAAATCCAAAGGCACTAACTAATATATGTTAATAGAATCACTCCCCATCAACTATACGGTGTAGTGAGATAATATTGCCATGACTAATGCACTTGAAATTGCACGTAATTTCGATTGCGTTTAGTTAATACACGAATATGATATGAAAGAACTGTTCTATCTCTCTTCTGCAATAGAGTACCGTTGCTGAAATTCGTAGTTATCAAAAACCGCATGTCGATATCCATAATATCATGATTGCTACCTATATCCTACTTGGTTACAAAGAGAAACGGTTGCAAGATTGGAAAAATTTGCAAGCGTTAATCGGTAAAACTGGAAAAGAAGGCCTCAAAAGGCAAACAACTACAATTGATCCCGTTACCATCTCTGAACAAAATGCTGATCGAGGATATCAGTTATTAAAGGTATGGTATTGCAGCACATGGCAGTACTGTAGTTCCTTGAAATTATACGAGTATGTTCTTGAGTATTGTTTTAAAAATATTTAATGGTATTGCCCTTAGCCTCTAGATATTGAGAAAGTTCGCGACTTAAGCTCCGGAGCTGCGACATTTTACGTTTGGGTAAGTTTAAGAATCAACTTTCTATTACAGAGGTAGAAATTATCCTTTAGCTTTCATTTGTTTTCTTATTTGTATATCTTTCATCTATTACAACAGAGTATGAATATGATCGAAGAAGTCAATAGTATCCATAGTGCGGGAAAATAGGACACCAGTAATAATAAAAATTTATATAACGAAATATGATACTTTTAATAGCTTACTAACATAGTTTTTACTAGAGTATTGAGAAGTTTTATATTGCTACAATAGTCCCTGATAGCATTTCATGAGGACTGAATTTCAATAATTTCTACCCCGTATACTCTTGATATTTACCAAAAGATCTTTCTATCTTTAACTTATGATAGAATTTCCATGATAATATCAGCAATTTAATATTAAGTATCATCAGTAAACCGATTTTTCTATGTAGAGTTACTAAGCCACGTTTAAAAGTAAACGAAATTAATGAAAAACGGTAGATTACTGACGATAAACTTTATGACATATGGTTCTATAACTTACAGCAGAACTATCGGTTAAATTGGAAAGCTCAATCAGATTTGAGTTTAAATAGATCGTATACTTGTTGACCAGCGACATGTCCCACTCACTATTAGTATTCATCGATTATCTTTAATTATGATAACAAATTACAATTTGATTCACTAATATTGGCTTGATTAGCAATTGAATCCGTTTATATAGACATTTTAGTATTGCAATCAGTAACAGACATAGCATGGACAGTATTATCAATATTCATCATCTAATTTCAGTTATTCTATACACGAAATCTGTTGTATAAATTATTCCCACAATATTGTAATATCTATTTATTTTTTTACCGCCTTATTTGTATTACCTATGAAATCGAATCAATTATTGGTATAAAGCCAATGCCGCACTAAGCCGATTACCATCATTCCGATTTATTTATCATATCAATAAATTCATATTAAATTTAGTGTACTTGATCGTGATGAAGAAATTGAAAGTACGTTTCAAGCTAACCTAAATATTGCAGCCTTAATCAGATTCATGCATGATGGTGTAGTATAATATCAGAATAGGATATACTCGCATGAAGATTAAATCTGTATAGCTAAATATTGCATGCACGATAATAGTCCTAAGTAGCAAAAAAATTTAATAGACAATGACGAGGGATCGTAAATACCATAAATAGCTAAACCCAATAATTCATACTTATGGTGATTTATTAATTGCTTCATGAATGCTATGAATTAAAATTGTTCGCATAAACCTCTGGGTTGCTATTTCAGAGGTTAAATAGCAAAAAGGTGTTTATTGATTTGATTATTATATTCGCGTAAAATAGAAACATTATGAGTAGATCATAGTTTTCCGGTAGTGAATCAATAATTTTACCGAATCTTACAAATAATAATAAAATCAATTTATGTTGCCTTTTAAAGATGCCGTATCTGAAATGAAATAATCGCATTTTATCAAAATATTTATATACGTATATCTTTCATAGTTATGCAAGTGACAAAGTATTGTATTCTTCTGTCACCATCGCTTCCGAAACTACCCTTCTAGAATGGCTCATTGAATGATTCGCTCTCACAGAACATAGAAATCGTAAACCTTTTTTCTACTATTAATTTTTTTCATTATTAAAGTACTTTATATACGATCTTGAAAACAAAATAGCATAAACAGGTTAGGAGGAAGCATTCAATCATAGGGTAATAACTCATCTTAAATTGTTTCAAACTTAACATTAGTTTAAGCTAGTCAAAAACTGTTATTTACTTAAACTGTATAAAAAATCGTAGGGAATCAGAAGGAAAGCTTCTATCATGAACTTATCAGCCAACTTTGCTAAACAGGTATTTTTTCTGCGCATTAACTAAATTGCTGTCAGTTAATAGAATTGATAAAGTTTCTATAAATACCCTTTTAATAAATTAATAAACGCAATATTACAAATAACAGGCATAACGACAATTTTATCATTGCATTATTAACAGTTAGTACATAGTTCAATAACATGAAAAATACCGACTTATTATTAATGTAAGCTACAGATTGCAATAGTTTAAAGATATTTCCTTGTAAACTCCGATACAACAAAAATGCCAGTGTATAACAAATATAGAATATACTACTACACAATACAATAATGTGATACAATCAAGTAAACGGTGACTCAATACTTACTACCATGATTACCGAATTAAATTAATCTATCGTATTTACTCCAGTAATAACGCAAACATAATTCCACAAGAATATCTTGCTGGCAAATTATCAAGTGAGTGCAAATACACCAAAATAAATGCAGTGTACAGTACATCACTGCTCTAATTTTTATCGATAAATACTAATATCATACTACGGTAGATTATATAATGCTAAGTATCAACCCGAATTTGTAATAACTCAGTAATGATAAAATGATGGAAAATTTGCTTTAAAAATAATACGCGTATTAGAACTGTTTAATTTAGTTCCAATAAATGATGAATTGGTTGTTTTATAATCAACGAAAAAACAATGTATTATTGGTTACTGTATTTAAAGGCGTTATAGAGAAAGATTTCTATGATATCAATCCCAACAGATCAATATTTTATTTAATCTTGTAACAAAATGTTTGATAAATAACGTTTCCTAATATATGATAGCTACGATAGCATTAATTAATCTATTTACTGTACACATAATACCGAATCTTAAAAGTAGTACTTAAAAAAATAATGAATTAGTACAATACCAATAATATGGACTGGATTAGTGAAGATACTATTTTACCTATAAAAGCCGAAAATGTAATCGATTCAATTACCACCATTGCTCAACATAGAATCGGAAAAAATATGATCAACATATTTTATCATAGCTATTTTATCATAGCTGTTTAACATCAATCATTTACCGTAAATCACATTAAATTTTGCATTGATCTAGCGTAAAATTTTATATGCAAGTTGGATATTAGACACCAATTTTATCAATCCTGTTATCGATATGAAGTGAATCCAATTAGATAAATAGCACGTAAGATAAAAAATAAGCTCCTGCTGAAGTTTAATAATAACTTGTTTAGAAAAATCTATTAACGCTTGTTGAAGCCATAATAGATATTCGATGACGCCCATCAATATGGCTATGTCTCTTGCTAATAGCGTGCTCATAAGAATTTAAATCATTAAAGGTAATACAACAACTTGTTGGAAAATAGATATTATCAAATTCAATATTACTGATTTCGCCATATTCCGAGAATTTAGCTTGAAGCATTTCACGGGAAATGGATTTATTCAGACCAGTTACAATAACTCTATATTGATCAGTAGCTGAACTGGGCTTGCTATGATGGTGGATTGCTATTACGCAATCATTAATGATATGGTTGTGCTCTAATAACGCTTCAATAGTATCGCTAAGCTTAAGGACAACAGTAGTAAATAATCTAGCCCTACCATCCAAATTATTTGTTTTACGATTAATTTGACCTACTGATATGACTGCACCGAAAGCTTGAAAGTAATCTTCTAGATCTTGACGACTGATATCAGGATTTAAATTGGTTACTTCTATTGAATAGGTATTATTGGTGTTAGCTTGTTGGCCATCTTTGGTATTTTTGTCTAAAGTTAGCATTTGATTTCTAATAATAACTGGAGTTTCATCATCATTCGCGTTATTAGTTGGATCGATATCAATATTCTTGGCTTTATAGCTGCTTTGACTATTGGATCGATTCAATCTATCGCTATCATCCGAATGCGTACTTTTAATAGAAAGTCGCGATTGATGACTGTTAGACTGACTCAATCTGTCAGTGTCTTCATTTTCATCGTCATTTGGTGAATTGACACTTTTAATAGAATTTCGTGATCGTTGGCTTAAACTAGTTTCTGACCGATGAAAAGGTGATTGAGAAATAGACAAATGGTCATTAGAATTTTGGTCAAGGCTTTCGGTACTGCCCAATCTCTTATTTTTAGTGGCTGGAGCTGTGGTTAGGTACCGATTAGTAGTTTCTTTAGATAGCTCAACTTGAGGATTACTGTGCAAGGAATCATCATCCGCATCTTCAATCTCAAGCACAAACTTTGTTCCATGAAGATGCGATTTCCGAGCTTCAGAAGCTGCTACTGATCTAATTAAACATTAAATATTTTATTGCGTCTGTATTAGCTTTAATTTGCATGAATATAAGCACTACTCTTACTAAAAGTGCCAGCATTACTTTTTTAAAATCTTTTAGAAATAACTATAATGAAAACTTCTAACGTAGATATTTTTAATTTTGTATATTTATGAAATCCATGTCGTATCTAATTGCTAATAAAGATAAATTGTAACTGTGGTATCCTTTGTAACTGATTATATATATGTAACTTACGATGATTTGGTTGTCGATTTAGGGGTCATTTGAGGCGTGCTAAGCCCTTGATGCTTTCTAAATTTTGTTTTAAAATAAGAATAAGCTTAACACTAACCATAAGTAGCATTTCAATTCATAGCTATTCATCTTTTTTGATACTTATTATTTAAGTGTTAGAATTTATAGCTGTCGATAAAATCGTTTCATCGTTAGTAATTTACTAACTCAATACGGTGTATTACATCAATTTTATCTATTGTACCTTGCAATATCAGTTTTTATTCTCATTCGCTTAACTTTCCTGGTAGTCCATGCTTTCTTTACCTTTATACAAAAAGAAGTGAATTAGATATTTAGGAATGGAGGAGTCCTAACTGGCCTTACCCAAACTCGTTCATGATATTATAATAAAGTTATTATAGCCTATGAGGGCAATTGCAGCGTGCTATGCGGTACTTGATGATTTAAAACTATAGTTTTTTAATCTGCAATTACAGCACATATTTATGCAGTAGTGAGTATATAGAAAGAGTCAGCTTGGAATTAATACTTTGCCATAAATATTTAGCTATACAGATGCATTTACTACAAAGTGCTTTAACAAAGACACTACAGAATGAGTGGTTTTATTTTTGTTCGTATCTTGGTATATTGTATAAAACAGAAAGTGTGAATAAAGCTATTTCATCCTTTACTAGCTCTCAAAATAAACTCCATGTAAAATTATTAGAGTATCATTGAGTAGTATATACTCAATTATAATAGGAAATAGTACGATAGCAGAATATAGAATTGAAGATTAAAACTGGTCTTAAAATATGTTTGCTATCAAATGTGCCGACTTGTGCCTTACAATTTATTTCCAAGTATGTTTGTAAGTAAAGCAGCTTTCATATTATACTTATTCAATCACTGAACCAATCATAAAATGCTACGGTACCGGAGTAACATACTATTCGAATATATACACTTAATAATGTGGGATAGTCTAGAACTAGACTACAACGGATATTACGACAGATCTTCTACCAGAATACTATTAGGCTATTAATCCTAACGATACTATAGATATTATTTAAGTAATTTAATTATTTGTAACTAACATCATCCCCGATAAAGTAGAATGTTATTTCAAATTATAAATTATTATTGTCGAATCTACTTCCTACAAACCTTTTCACTTCTTACGCAGTGGAATATAAATATAAAGAATCCCTAAGGATAACCAAATAGCTTTTGTTAAAGTATAGTTAGAGGCTTTAAATTTCATTAAAAACCCACATTAGACACGGACGATATCACAGATATTAATAAGCAAGATCACATTCGCTGATCGTATTTAATAGTCTGTATAGTTTACTGATTACCTGTAAAGAGTTCACTATTGCAAATGGATATTGCATTATAACATTGTTAGTTATAAAGACTAGACATGCCAATACCCATCCAGAGCCAAGTAACGGCAATAAAATCAATAGGTCTTTAATAACCAATCTAAAAATTTTTTTAAAATGAGAAATCTATTATAACTGTACTTATTCGCCTTTAATGAGAATATAATTAGGCAATGTTAAATACTAATAGTAGTCGGTTAAATAAGTATGGTACAAGGACTATAATAATTATTGTACTGAAATTGTGAAGATGTTCGACATTGGAGAGTATTAGAAAAGCAATAATATCTTAATCCAGTGGATACCCACGGTAAAATATATCGATTATCAACTTGAAGAGAAGCCTTTTATTTGATGGCTCAAGTCTAATTGCAAGCAACTTTGTTGCCGTAAATAAATTGATTTAAGCATATTTAAGAAGTGCAGGTAGGAGTTTGAACTACTCTTCTCTTCAATTCGAGCTCAGTGTACTTGACTTTATATTTGTGTTACCTGTTAATTATTACTCACTATTCCAAAACTTTATAATATAAATCTTTTATTAATTTCTATTTCTACTAAGGCTATTAATTATGAGAATTAGATTTTAAAATCAGATAAAATGTTTGGTATATTTTTACTACCTAAATACATCAAGATTAATATTTTTAAAGGTATTGAAATAGTTTCATATTTTACTTACTTCGTTAACTTGACTTGTTTATCGTCTGATTTTCTAGGAGCTTTACTAACGGTCGTAATATGTTCTTTCAATACCAATATCAAGAAAATGATATTGATCTTTCAGGGTTCACAAAATTATGTTGCAATCGAATAAAAAAAATTAAAAACGATAATAAAACGATTACAAATTTAGGTTTACCAATCTAAGGTATCATGGAATTATAAAAGAATTTTAATTATTCCGTTGCTATAACAGTCCACATTTGGAAACTATGTGGTTTAGCATTAAACGCACCATAATAATCACTCCAATCGGAACAAGGAAACCTAAAATAATTGGTGGATCGATAGATAGCCAGCACCTGCAATTTGTGCAGTAATAAATGTATTAAAAAATAGTATAAAAATATTTAATAAAGGTTTTTTTAAACTTGTTTAGTCATTTATATAAATCATTCAGGGATAGAAAGCTATTAATCCGGTTCTAAGTATTTTGAAGAGTAGTAAAACCGTTACGCCAGCAAATGAAATAACATACCCGAAAGTACCAACGTAAGCTGGTAAACCTGCAGCTAAGATAGCTATTCCAATAGTAGCTCCTACGACAGCGAGAGCGGATCCTATAATTTAGTAAGAAAATGGACAATAATATCACTGTATGATAGATTTATCTACGCATTCATAAATATGCAAGGTAGCCACTCATAGCATATATCGAATGTTGTAGTGATTTTTATTGTTGAAAAGTAGAATTAAAAAGTCTAATGTATATATCACTTACCATAAGCAATTATAAAATATAGCCAAAGTTTAATGCCAGAGCTAAATACCCTAACTATTTTAATGTAAGCATGTAAACCTTCGACAAGCATCCACATAAAGGATGCTATCAATGCAAAATGGAGCGTCGCTGTTGTCATCGTACATATTAACTATAAAAGAAGAACCCGAATTCAGTTTAAATTCTATACAAAACATAATTTCGTCAACATAAAGAATATTTTGATAATTATTAAGATAAATATTTTACGTAAAGTTATTAGATAGAGAAAAACTTCGCTAGTTTGAATTATTATATTTTCTAAGGCTCTTACTTTATATTTTGTTAAACCAAGGCTGGAGACTATTAGTATATTGGACATGAGTAAGCACAACATGAGGTTAAAGTGAATAAAAATAACCACTCTCCCTTCAAAATATCTACATTAATAAAAGCAGACAAATTGTTAGGCAGTCTTTAAAGTCGAATTAAGAACTAATTCTGAAGTAATGCTTGTAAATTAAATGAAATCATGAATTCATACTTCCATAAGATGATATACAGAATCAAAGTTATTAAGAGGCATAAGATAGAAATTCCACAGCCCACATAGGTAATGATTTGTAGTGATAGCAATACTGGTGGACTAATCTGTAGGTAAATAAAAGTCAATAAAATGATGACGAGAATTATTGTGATTGAAAGAATTTATGTTATTGAGAGTTTAAGGGGGTCGCCCTAAAATAGCTCTTTCGTAATTACTAATAAAAGCTCTTACCGTAGCATTTCTGACTTGGACCAATACCGCAAAATGCGTTAAATGATCGCAATGGCAGACTGTTACAGTAGCGTTAGAGAAATTCTTCCGGCAACCATAGTTTGACCAGTCACCACCAGCTATATAACTTTAGCAATGAAATAAATGTTATAGTTTAAGATATCGCCTAGATCATCTTAAAAAGACTAACTAAGAAATATTTTTTGCCTATCTTAGATAGATTCGCAACGATAAAAGGAGATACAATCAACCTTTGTATCTACTCCTCTCATTTGCAAAGCTATGTAAGCATGAATGGGTAACAACCTGTTATCAAAATTCCAAAATACACACTCATGCGTTGTATTCGCTGTATTTTTATCCTACAAATTTTAGGATTAATATTAACCGCAATAAACTGTTAGTTTCACGTTAACAGTATTTTTAATACTATATAAGAAATATCAGACTTTGTGAATAATGTCTAATTAAACAAGTTTTAAGAATAGATAGCAAATTTTCTGACCTTAAGGTGCCTCAAAACTATTTCCACCGGTTGATCTGACCCAGTTACGGTTCTATTCTGAATAGTACTTGAAATTACTTGAGAGTTTATGACACTAGGGTCATTGTTACTATTAGAAATCGTATGAGAGAATAAGTAAATATTATCCGGTGATTTAAATGAGTTGAGTTAAATCGTACATAAACATTCAAACCATTGCCTCGTAACTTTAATACGGCAATAAATATACAGTATAATAAAGAGTTTTATATAGGCAATTATAGTTAAATTTAGTGATATTTATAATTTTGCCTACATGTCACCGGTTTCGTCATCAGTTGAATAAGGTAAGAATTCATTTAATGACTTATAGATGAAGTTGGTGACTCTGGAAAGACTTTCACGATCTATAATTTTTGAATACATTCTTAAATTAGAATCAGCACCGATAATTCCTTCTGATGCAATATATTTAGAAAAAGAATCGAAATTACATTACGTTAAGTACCTGAAAATAAAGCCGCAGGTAATGTGATTTTGTTTCCGTTCCACCAAGGTACTGATGTATCCGTTACATTAGCTGGAAAAGTAATTGGTCGTTTGTCTTCAGGCGGTACATCTAATAACGTCATGACTATAAAATTAAAGAGGAGTGCCCATTAACACTAGAAAACAAAGTTTAATGCATACCATAGAATGTATTATTTACTGGATGGTCATAAAAAGTAACGAGCTTGGACAGTGTTAAATTTGCGACATATACGCAAACTTTAGTAAGACTCTTGGTTACGTGGATTAACACTAATATCGAAAATTTGAAGAAAATTGCTTACCAAGGTTGGGTAGGGTCAGAGTTAATTCATATGTGTCTCTCAAGTCGTATTTGCCAGCAAATAAATCTAGATTCTGAATGGTTTCTGCTGCACCAGGTTGTTTCTAATATTTGTTACATAACTACATCAATTACTGACTAATATTGATTTTGACAGGCTTCTAACATATCAGTTGATCAAGCATGAATAATAAGCGTATGTTATTGTTGTATTTACAGCCGATATTGCTCTCCATTGTTCTTTGTTGCTATTATCAAGCAAGTTATTGCTGGTCACAAGGAAATTCTAAGTTAATCGGATATAATCACGTTAATAAATTATGTATTAGAGACATACTATATCTAAATCATTATACGACGATTATGGCCGAAAGTAGAACTGTATTTTTGCGCACTGATAGAAATTAGATAATTTTTAAACGTATGGTGGATATGATAAGGCGTGAGTTATTAACTTAGATAACTACAGTAGAGTGCACATATATCCAATACTAATTAGTTTACTGTTAGCTACGATATTCCTATAATATTTAAAATAAAAAGATTCCTTATGTAGAAAAAAATTAGATATCGATTAGTATTTTAATTATAGCTAAAGTTATTATCGGAATTTCTCATTCGTAAAAATGGGATGAAACAAATTATACAACGTATTACCTCAAGTTGGTCTATATCTGTCACGATAGTCGATTCTCTAGCAATTTTACCCAAGATATTATTAGTAATGATCATATCACCAGCTTGGATCGGCTGCGAATTGTTAGCGACAGTAATTTGCGATAGCTCTTGTAGTATTTGTGACTTTTCTTGTTCATCACCTAACGATGTATTTGCCTATAAAGTATAAATTCAATCAATTTTTGTATAGTAAAAGTATCATCTGTTTATCGATCTACGACATCAATTCTGCTTCTTCTAAGTTAGAAGAAAGATTCTCATAACTTTAATCACTAAAAATGGATGCTGAGAGATTGTTAAATGAGGACTGTATAAAAGATTTGCTATACAATTTCGTTCATTTTGCGAATACTGTAATGTCGAATAATCTGCCAACCCTCTTAAGGTTTTTAGGCAAAAATAATTCTGTGGCGTACTGTACCACAAATGGAATAATAATTAATAACTATCACAATTTTTGCATATATTTTATTTCCAGTCACAGCCAAATATCGAGTTTTATCCTTTCTACATACCTTAGCATTAAGTTCCACAAATACTAAAGTCGTGCATCGAGTTGTATCAACAATGTCCCATGTTGCAGCGCCATTAGATAACGGTAAGCATTGACGGAAAGCGAGACCTGCAAACGCAGTAAATATTACGGTAATCTTGAAATCTATGACTACGTACGAATATTTTATGATTATCGACTAGTACACCGAGATTATTGTCAGCATCTCGAGAAGGTATAGGAATATGATGTCATTTATACATCATGTCTTATGTTTTTCATTGCTTTCTTTCTTTATTTTTACATAGACATTGCTAAAATAGAATGAAGTGTCTGTTTACCTTCAGATGGTGGAATACATTTTATTTTGGCAATTTTCCCCACTGTAGTGGCAGGCCACAAAATTTTCTCTTTCACTTCTGTTGGACAAGAGAGTGATTCTACGGTAAATTGAGTCGCAACAGACGATGTAGGAACCATACTCGGAGCTGTTGATAGGGGTTTAGTGGTTGGCTGTGGTGTAAAATTCAAATTGGCGCTAAGCTTGATCGATTGTAATGCTGTTGATGCATTACAGGTATAAATTCCAGAGTCAACAGACCGCATACTGGGAATAGTTATTATAGAAGTTGTACTATTTGAATAGATTGAAATATCCGATTGTGTGTTCATAATTGAAACTGATGAAGAATTATTCTTGCGATGATACCATTGGAAATCAATTCCTTCAACTGCAACTTGAAAGTGACATACTAGACTAAAAGTTTTACCCTCGACTACTTGATAAGTATTTCCAACTTGATTTGGCACTCCAATTGCATAAAGTTTAGTTGTATCTGGCCCAAATGCTAAAAAGTTATTCATTATTAAGTTAACGACTTAGCATAAGATTTAGTAAATAGTAACTACGTATTATCTACCTAGTAAGGCATCATTTTTCGATAGTTAAAATATCAAATTGCTCATTAAGGTTATGGTAAGTGAAAAAACACTATCATGAACTTTATATCACTTTAGTGTAACTGTGCTTTTCATGAGCAGCAATATACACAAATTGAATTGTTCTATATAAATAGGGTAACATCTAATTACATGATTTATGTATAAGACAATATCCTTCTATAAAAATTGATTCGATATATCAGATTGAATTTTAATTTAAAACATTTGAGCTTATTTAATGCATTCAATAACAGAATTTAAGATTACCTCCTTCATATTTTAACTGAAAGCCAGTATTATCTCCATTGACAGAATCACTATGAAAGTTGATGTAGACGATATTACTATTGATTTGTACCGGAGGTGGTATATTGTTTCCGCACATCGCTGAACTGCTAGATGTTGCCGCGATGTCATCACAGGTTTTATTTGCAGTACTACCTGGTGATATCATGACATAATCAAAGGCGCATCGAAGACGATATTCAACATTGAAAGCCAAAAACCGAAAAAAGATCGATTGCGTGTTGTTTAGTATAATCTTCCAGCAACAATTAGACAAAACGGGATATTTATCCGGGAAGTTCGGTGAGGCAATGGTATTTGAGAAATGATGGTAAGTTTTTGAGCAGTTACCAGAATCTAGAAATTAATGTTATAGTGTTCTATCATCAAAGTTAGAATGAACTCGGGTTCTAGCAACTAAATCTTGACATATAAGACGCAAGGTAATTAAGGTTTTACTGTAATGAAATTTTGGGTAATCACAACATGATTTTTATGATCATGTCATTTAATATGCTATTGCTTATCTTACCTGACGGATTATCAGATGCAGCGCCGACAGATACAGTTATCATGCCATTCTGATTTTAAAGATAGTATAGCGATAACAAATTAACAGCATGATAGTAATTCATAATAGAAAATTACTGACTGTTGTACAGGAGAATAGTAGTACATTAGCGAGAATAGAACTAAAATTCTGTTACAAAAATGAACTAGTACTAGTAGTAGAATGCATTATTTACAATGGATGTCAAGAATATGCTACCATTTATTGATTTGCTCTAGAAATCTCTGTAGTGATGTAATTGTCATTCTTACGAGCAAAGGATTAAATAATAATAGAAGAAATTTCTATGCATTATGCCTCGGTTTTTTTAATTTCTAGTTATTAATGTGCAAAGACTATGAAGAAGTTTACATAATTTAATGATAGACACTAGTGTACAAGGCTGATTGGATTTAATTAATAGCCGAAAGTAGTACTTTTAAGTATATCATCTAATACATCTGAGAAAATTGCTGAAACTTGGATAGACTTAACTAATGTGGACTCTTAATAATTGTTCAAGTGCAAAATAGCAATAATACATTATATGTATAAATCAATGGAAAGCACTAAAGGCGTAGTATAGTTTCAGTATTTTCCGTGACTATAGCTGAGGTAATCTTTCAGTAATATACTGTATGTTCGTAAAACTACTGCACTTGAATGCTTATAAGGAAAAATACTGTAAATTGAACTATAATCATATCATATCCTAACTTTATAATGCTTTGTTAATATTAAGTGATTCCTTGATTTGAACAGTTAGAGTATGTTCATTAAGGTACCATTGAAAACGAATGGAGCCTATTGAGTGATAGCCATGATATTTATGTAATCGATAAGGTTGTATATTTCCATAAAAGAAGGTTTTTTCTTTAATTTAGGTAGACTAGAGTGCTTAGCCAAATATTACACGGCGATCTATCCGTTACTGTTCGTCTACTGTAGAGGTAAATTTTGAATAAAATTACTCTGCTGATGTATTCAATTTATTTGCTACTAATGATAGTTTGTTGTATTATAAAATACTGTATGATCTAAGCGTAGTATTAGCTAAAGTAGCATCGCATCTTTCCAAAAAGAAGTACTTAAATCAAGTATCTTAAAATTAAATTATTTGTTCGCCGACGATTATTGGCTTTTTAACGACTGGTATCTCATATTACTATGGCTATACCAGATGGTATGTGGGCGTTAGCTATTGCTAACCTTGAAAAAAAACCTGGGATGCATTATAACTTAATTTTTACTCATTCAATTGACTATTTTCTGTTATTTCTAGACTTTGTAATAGCCATTAACATCCAAGCTTATAGCATTTCGTTGTTTGTATTAGTAAAACTGTATGAATATATAGCCAAAATTGAACTTCTTTGGTCTAATACGGTACTTACGCAACAAAGAATCACCAAAATGAATGAAAGTAAACAGGAAGTACTACTCGTCGCCATCTGTCTTTTAATTGGTAAGGAAATTGCTTCACGAATCTAGTAGTAGCAAGAATTTATCAAGAATTGGTTTGGATTAAGCTTTAAACAGGTTCATTTATCAAATAGAACCAAATAAGATTATTATTAAATTCATGCTTGTTTAAATTGCTTGGCGTTGAATATTATACGAACGATTCTATTAGCCAAATTAATTTCTTATTAACAAATTCAATTTTTCTATTATACATCGGTAGAAGATTTTCTATTACCTCGATTTAAATAAACACGGTAAAGTAGTTTACTGTATCCCTACCTAATTTACTTATTTTGCCTTCCCGATAAGCTAATGATCAACTATAAGAATGTTGCAGCTTGATTATTCTTGTAGTTTTTTCCTGTTAACATAAAAGATTTAGTTTTCATCGATGCTAGTAGCCTTTCATTTGCATTATTATAATATAAATGACAGCAAAATTTATCTCAGGATGCTCATACTCACCCTAATCAGATTGTTTTCCACCTTGCAACCAAGCTGTTGGATTGAGTAAAAAGAAAAGTTGTCTTAGTTATCACTGAGTAGGCTCATTTATTACCTATAAACTTGCTTGTACATTCTTCTTGTTTAGTTATTTCGAAAATTGAAATTTATATCCTAAACGTTCAACCAAGTTGCTTACCGATAGAAATTAAGCCCGGACTAATTTACCATGTGCCCTGTCGTTCAATATTTCCCCCTACCAGTGCTGTTATTGATAGTGCCTTTAACTCTGAAATTGCTAAGAGATATCCAATAAATATCGAAATAAATGACAGTCTGCGTGATATTGCTTGGCAATTGAGATGATTTAGAAGGCCAGCCATTAAGCTCAATATTGTCTTCGTTATTCCTATCAGCATGGTTATTATTTAATATTATGATTGGTCTACTGAATATAATACAAGACAAAGCGTCTATTGTTGTAACTCTAAAGTGATAATGAACTATAGCGATATGATTGTTTTCCATTGAGGTACCTCCTACAGGTTGTCGTCTTTAGGATGACATTCCAGCGATATGACGCTCAATTAAGAATGCGATGTGTTACAACAAGGATGTGACTCATTTCTTGAGTCAATGTTTGCAGATTTGACGTCCATGATATCGTCACCAAAGTGTCACCCGTCATACGCGTCACTTTATCGGTAGGACACAAGTGAAGTTCATCCATATAGTAGGAGGTCAGGGTAGTTATGCCAAAATAAATTCCAAGCTTAAAGGAAATAATTTAGTAATGGCAACTTGCTATACTTTAGACTAGGGAAAGTAATTCATTCTTCCGCTTAAGTTTGTAGTGGTATTCATTTATAGCCACCATCTACTAGAATTATTCGTCAAGTAATAAGTTCTTCCGCTTAAGCTTGCAGTGGTATTCATTTATAGCCATCATCTACTAGAATTATTCGTTAAGTCATTAATTCTTCTGCTTAAGTTTGCAGTGGTATTCATTTATAGCCATCATCTACTAGAATTATTCGTCAAGTCATTAATTCTTCCGCTTAAGTTTGCAGTGGTATTCATTTATAGCCACCATCTACTAGAATTATTCGTCAAGTTATTAGTTCTTCCGCTTAAGCTTGCAGTGGTATTCATTTATAGCTACTATCTACTAGAATTATTCGTCAAGTCATTAATTCTTTCACTTAAGCTTGCAGTGGTATTCATTTATAGCCACTATCTACTAGAACTATTCGTCAAGTCATTAATTCTTCCGCTTAAGCTTGCAGTGGTATTCATTTATAGCCACCATCTACTAGAATCATTCGTTATATTACGTAATCTCTTTAGTAAACATAGAATTATGTCGTCACGATTAAATGAATGGGATAAAAGAGGAGGCTGGCAGTCAAATAAAAGTAGAGTTAGAAATCAAACAATTTCATGTAATGATAGTGACTTTAATAAGGTAGCAAAAGAAAGAAATTATATATCTCTATATTGCTTATACATGGCTTAAAGCTTCAGTTTATGTTTGCCTTTACAGTATATTGCAGTCACTAATTATCGGAAATTCTCGATCTGTTAAGTAAACTCAACATTTTATGACCGTGATAAAATTGATAGGATAGGATAGTAGGCTACTAGGCTAGCAAATAGGCAAAAAAAGGGGAGTGCAAGTGAAACAAAAATAATTTAAAGAATAGTAACTTTAGAGTAGTAAAACGTAGTGAGTTTTACCACTCAAGTTTTCGTTTCATGTCTGTCAAACATCACTAATCATTCATTATTCATAATTCTGCATTATCTTTTAATGTAATATTATATTATGGCGATAAAATTGATATAGTACAAATGCACACGACAAGTTACAATAAAAAACAAGTTTTCGTCAAATAAAAATAATTTAAATGATAGCCATTTAGAGCAGCAAAGTGATGAGATTTTGACACCTCCCAATTTCAGCTCATACTAATTTAATATTTCTATCACTCGTTATTAATTTATCTGTTAAGTAAATAAATATAGCATTTTATCAGGGTAATTTAATTAAAATCCAACTAATATTATACCGGCATAGATGGAATGATGTACCGGCATAGAATACTTGGTTAAGGTCACACAGTTATTTGAGTTAAAACGATAATTGAGTCAAGACATTCGTCATAGTTTCATAATTTAAAGGATTTGAATTGTGAGCTGTGATGACTTCATCACATGCATTGAAAACAGTACAATATCGATCAACTTATCAATCCTAGTTGTAGGAGATTTACATTCGCTCATATGGTCTAAAATATGATTTAATATTGACGGAGTACGGTTAAGGTAGTTTAAGATTATCAACCAATTTCTTTACTAGGTAGACTCGCTCTATATACTACTTTTAAATCTTTGTATTTCACTCTCGGTTAAATGCTGTAAGAATCAATAATGATTAACGGGAAGAATACCTGGTGGGAAGGGAGGCTCACTGGTGATACAATTATTTACCGTGCCGAATAGATTCAATACAACAGTTGATGTGAAATTCTTCCAATGGCTTTATTGTGTTAATAAAGGTCAAGATGAATTATGTGGTGCTACATACTTTATAAAATTTGATATTTTCTCATGGGTGCTGCAACTCTCCATGTTTCCAAAATACATCCAATATTAGTTATTTGCTATGTTAGGCACACGCGTATATTAAAGTTTTTCTATAAATTGACAATGCTACTATGGCTTCTTAACCACATCGTTACTGATATTTTAGACAACAATTTTGTGTATCTTTATATGAAATATTAATTGTGTAGTATACTGTACTAATTACCATTTATACCGTATGAAATGAAAAGGTCGCCGTAATATTTAAAATATATTTAATGGCCTTAAGTCGTTAACATTTCTGGATCTTATGCACAAATTCTGTAATATTTTGTCAGCTTTTGTGTTGACAACATTTTAAAAGTTGTTTTATCAATGGGTAAGAGGAATTAGAGATAAAAAGCTAATGATCATTAATATTTTCTACCTATGGGTCGTAATGAGTTGATTGCAATGCCAGCTTAAAATGGAGAAAGAACTGAAACAGTCATTGTCGTTTCATAATGTAGTTATTCATATCCCATATTATAATAGTATATTATTATATTAATCAGCCATTTACTGTATAATCTTGAAACTAAATATAAATGACAGGTTGTAATCGTACATGGGTATATGTAGTAATAATATAAGCATCATTGATATTTCACATCAAAGGTAGCTCTTAGAGTTTATGATCATAAAATAACTAAATTCGATGATCATTCTCTCTGTCGACTGCAGACAATGTCAATAATGTTTCTCTTTGTAGTGAATTTGCAATATAAAATTTTGTGCCAGTCTACGAAAATCATTTTTAGTCAACATCAGTAAATCGAGCGGTTCAAAAAGTAATTAAGCAGCTCAAACATTTGTGAGCTAGTAAAATTCATCATGAACCACGTAAATGTCATTTTCATTATACTATAGATTAATATCTAATTTTAATACACTACTAAGACAATAACATTAACATATAAAATTACAATAGCTTAAGTTTAGATCAGCTGAGAAGGTAGTTTTAATTTTAATTATGAAAATGATTCTGTTGATTAATAAATTCTTATAGATTTGTGTTCATGTTGATGATCTGATTTGATAACAAATTGCTTACATTACAGTTTATTTTTTATGTAAAAAGGAGCCAATTCCAGCATTAGCTAAAAGATACCATCAAGATCAGACAGTTCCTTTAATGATCATAAATCACATCTAAATGATTTTCTTACTACAGTTACGACAGTTCCGGAATCAAACAATCACTGCTATTAGCCTAATTTATGTGCGTCCATATAGATAATATTATCTTCACTATGTTCGTGATAATATTAAACAATAATAAACTTAGCAGGTGGTATAACAGCATGCAGTAATTCTAAAGTAGGTTCATTTCAAATGCAAGTATAAATAATTACACTATGATTTTATGCATTATAGATAATAATGTATAAAGTAGCATGAAGTAGAATAACGTATGCAAATAATGAATCCTATGCATTATAAATTCTATTCGTCATTTTACTGACATGCGAAATCAAAAATCCATAAATTTAAAATTGATCATTAATTCGAAACATCACAACAAGCATAGAATACATGACAGAAAAAAATGTGGTCAAGGGCGTAATTTTTTTAACTAAAATAGTCCATCGAAAAGCTCTGCTCCATTTTATCTTAGAAATCAATGAATACACTATAGCTAATACTGCAACTAGCTACGCAAATATATTGCAATAACATTCTAATAATCGAAGATTTAC